TATAATATATCTTCTCATATTATATTTAGTGTGCGTAATCCCGGGTTAAAGTTAGAATTTAAGAAAACATAACCACACGGGGATGAGTCCATAATTTTCGTATGGTAGAGGATATACAAAATTCGGCAAGGTCGGACTTAATGAACTTGTCTGAGTATTTTCCACTTTAAGCTTCAAATGAGTAAAAACCTACATTTCAGATAAGAAAAAAAAACATTATCTCTTTTTTAACTCCATTTAAAGTTTTTTTTTTGCTTTATTATTATGTAAAACGTGTTTTTCCTTTCGATTTGTTCTACATACAAGTCATGAATATTTTATAAAACCCAATTATATCGATTCATGCTCGCTCTATTTTCCCAGAAAAGCACAAAAAACTCCTTTGAAGCCACAAATATTATGCACGGAAACAAAGCGAAAAAAACCGAAACTCAAAGAAATTAATGAAAATGCGTAGCATTCCTATAGAGTATTTGTAGCCACAAGCAATTCTGTGGTGTGAACTAATTTCTACGTTTTGCCAAAAAAATCTCTCAGGAATTCCCCATCGAAACAATGAACACGTTTAATTTACTTTTTGGAATACAGGAACAGTTGTATTAACTCGAACAGAAACAAAAACTGTTCGCAGCAACGGCAAAAGCTGAATCGACACTAGTAAAGTGGGGAATAAAGTCATTAACTCATATTGTTCTCATCTATATTTTATTCTTAGTGCTTGGGTTTCTTCTGTTCTGGCGTTTCTTCTTGAAGCGGTTTTGATAAATATGTTTAGGGAATTATATTGTATTAAATTCTCGATCCGTTTGTGTTTTATTTTAGTTTGCAGCATTTGCTGTGTATTTCATTATTTATTCAAATTGTTATGGGAGATCACAACCACATCACACCAATACACACATTCTGTTATGTGCATCAACCTTTGTTCAACAAACGCAATGAGTTGGAATTCTTTAAGTTATTTATCATTATTTTGATTGGAGTTCGTTCGAGTTTTTTCTTTCTTTGCCTTTAAGTCATACGAATCCTTTGTGTCGAAGATGATAATTCCAATGTAAACCGCATATTCATGCTGTAGTGAGTTTAAATACTTGTAATGTGTATTAACCGTGGTTACTTGAACGTATGATGTATGTGGTGTACAGAAATTTATCATACGTACCTTTGTACGTATTTTGTGACTGAAATTATAGGAAAAATAGTAGTCTATGAAAACACAGCTAAAAAATACAAGACACATGTATCTGCATTATGAAACTTTGCATCGTACAGTAAGTTAAAGGAGGGGGGAGGGGGTTTGTAGTGTGATGTAAAATTCTCCCCCTCTTCCATATTTTTTGTTAAAATTTCGGATTATTTTTTTTTTTAATTTGTGTACTTTAGGTATGTGATGTCTTCTGTAATATTGCTAATAAGAATTCAAGGATTCAAGAATTCAAGGATTAGTTTGGCCGAAGGTGTTATGCCTCAAGCGAGATACCAAATGGGAGCTACAGTAGATTTTGAAAACAAATTATTTTGTAGAGCATTTCTACTTGCTACGATCGCGTTTAGGAGAGGCAGGGAGTGATTAACGAAAATTTGGAAGAAGGTATCAAACACATTTCTGAAAATATGATGGCAACATTATGGAAGATATATCACCCAAATAGAGATTTCATTTACTTGGTAACCTATGAAAAAATTGAAGAAAAGTAACATAAGTTTATGGCGTTACTCTTTTAAAAATACCCCTGTATTCTTGTCAAAAGTCAAGCAAATAAAATGTCAAATAGTGAACATGGGAAGCAAAAAAACACTGATTTGAAGGAATACATTATAAAATGTGTCATTTGTCCATGCGTACATACATAGACATGTCTGATATAATATTGATATGAGAGAGACACTTTAAATTTGAGATTTTGTCCCACCCGATGCTATGAAAGGTATGGCCTAAAATTGGCTTTGAGAATGTTAATAAATTAAAAGTGACTAAAAATAGACTCGGTTACAGGATGAGATAAAAAACTGCAACAAAGACAAAAGCCATAATTTTTACATTTTATTGAATGAAAACAAAAAATGTCGTAAATAGCATCAAATTTAAGAATAAGTTTAGATTTGTTCGAATTGGCCAACTTTGGCACGATTTATGGCCCTCAAATGGCCCATGAAGTCGTCACACGCTGCCCGAATGTTGCCCTACGGTATTTTGGCCCATTCTGGGCGAAGCGCTTGCTTGAAGTGATCGACACTTCGGTATGTTTAGTGCCATCCTTGCTTTCCACAATGCTCCAGACACAAAAGTCCAACGTATTGGTATCCGGAGATTTTTTTTGCGCTGGAAATGAAGCGAGGACCCTTATTTTGTAACCAATCTTGGGTGGCGCGTGCCAAAATGTTTGCGGCCCAAGGTCTTAATACACCCTTCAAAATATTTTCGCGATAATATTTGCCATTTATTCTGAAGGTCGATTAATACGAGCGGACAGCGGCAATCGGCTGTTATGACGGCCCACACCATCACCAAGGCCGGCGCTTGAATTCTGGTGGCCAACCGAAGGTGCACATTTTCAGCTGACCGCTTTGGCAAGTAAACACGATCACTTTGTTTGTTTACAAAGTGCTGGACAACTAATGTTTTCTCATCGGAAAAAACCGAATTCGGCAGTTCACCATTCTCGGCCAAGCGAAGCAACTCTTTAGCTCTTTGAGTCTATTTTCTTTCTGTTGCGGTGTAAGTTCTTCCACTTTTTGGAATTTCAATGGCTTTGCCCCGAGCTTTTTTCCCAATATCTCACGTTTCATTTTTCGGCCACTGCGACGCGGGTTTCGATCAAGTCGCTTCTTTACTTTTCGAACCATTTCTTCTGATGTTGCTGATTTCTTCCGTTCACGTCCTTGACGTCGGGCTACGCTACCACACAAAAGATTTATTCACATTTAACTGCTGGAGTACTCTAACAATAGTCACTTGTGGTTTTCCAGCCAAATATAAAGAAATCACACTATCACGCTTGAATTCCATCACGAATAAGAATTTTTCTGGAAAATCCTCACCAAAATGCTTTTGTACACTTGTTAACATTATAATGAGCTGTCACTGTCAATGTGAAGTTGGTTGCATTTTTTTCATCTCACCCTGTATGTTTCATCCGATTTAGTTTTAAGTCCCCCATATTTCTAATATGATGTTAGAAATAGCAGAAACAGTACCTCTGTCAAATTTTATCGAGATCGGTTCCAATTTGGATATAACACCCAAGTTGTTAGCCAAACGTGGAATATTAATCCAAATGGGATGCATTTAGGCAAAGACTACCAAATTTAGCCTAGAAGCAAACTGATAAGATGAAGCTTTAGCTTTCATATATTTATGTTATTCTTCGTCAATTTTGAAATGTTTTCCCTAACGGCATGAATTTTAGCAAATAATACCAAATTTCTGTACATACGATCAAACTAACTTAGTTCTAGTTTGTGAAATTTAGTGAAAATTAGTTAAGATGTAGCAGCAGGTCCCATATATATGTTTCGTCCGATTTCCACCCCCAATATCCGTTATATGCATTCCATAACCATGATTTCGGTAAACTATATCAGGAACATCCTATACATACCTTTGCAAAGTTTTGTCGACTGTACTAAATAATCATAGTGGTGTTGGGTATCATAATTTACAAATTTTTTAAAAATTTACAAATTTTTTAAAAAATTCCGTTGAAAAATACTGCTAAAATCACAATATACTGCTAAACACAATATATCGAAGACGTGGGCCTGCATAAGCAACCTTTCTCATATGCCATTAGGAACTTCAAATTTGAAACTTAAAACAATTTCGGCGGATGATTTCGCCAAAATCATTAATATACCGATTATAGCGAGGTACCATTATACGGGGCTCTACGAAAACATGGACTGAAATTTTCTGTCATAAGCTGAAGCTACAATTGGAATCTTCAAATACGAAATTAGAAAACCTGTCAAAGCTGTAAAACCCATTACGAACTACAAATTCCAATTTTGCAACATTTTTGATGAAAAGTAGGGCACAAATCATCAAAATACTCAATATCTGGAGGTACTGTTATATGCAGATTATACCTATATTCAGACTTATATTGATGTTGGAGGATGTTTCTTACATAATGAGAACACATGCCAATATGCAGCAGATTAGAGTTAAAATTGTGATAAAAACACATAAAAACCTAAAATCTGTCGGTACAGTTATATGGGGCTATACCAAAACGTGGACCTTCAAAGCCCATTTTCAATACAAAAGGTCTTGCAGAACAAACACACATCTAAGTAAAATTTTATCAAAATACTTCATTTCGTTCGGAAACTAGAATTATTTCAACAGACAGACAGATGGACGGTCATCGCTAAATCGACATGGAATTTTATTCTGATCAAGAATATATATACTTTATTTGTATATTTCGAGGTGTTACAAACTTAATGACAAACTTAGTATATCCTCCATACGATAATACATTATTTGGCCTCCTTGAACAAAATGCTCTTTGTAATTAATTAATAATCTACAAATATCTCAATAAATTTTCCTTCTAATATTCGAATCAAACTTACGAATTTAAATCAGCTCTGTTATTGAGTACGTTGTACAAGCCAGGACAATTTCCAATGTAATTTAGTTACAACTTTAACACTTGATTTTTTTATAATTGGACAATTTCCAATGTAATTTAGTTACAACTTTAACACTTGATTGTTTTATAATTGCTCAATAATACTTCAAGCTGTTATTGGTTCATAACCAATTCTTTCAGGTGTTAGGCAACTGCACTGTTTTTCCCACTCAAACCTTTATAAATGATTGATTATTTCCGAGAACTTGTACATTTTCTTTCAATTCTTAAATTGTACACAAATTAAATATGAAAACTACAGAATATACCAAGAACTCACACTTATTACAAATTTGAAAAATATTTCCTAATTCATTTTGCCATTTATGTCATGTTTTGTTTTTTTTTTTCTTTTTTTAGAACCTGTTACCGAAATCATAGGAGGACCAGAACTACACATAAACAAGGGTTCCACAATAAATCTAACTTGTATCGTTAAATTTGCACCCGAGCCACCGCCCACTGTCACATGGTCACATAACCGACAGGTAAGTTTACCCATATCTTTGAAACCTTAAACCAAAAAGAAAAATATTATTCATTTATTTTTTTTTTTTTTTCATCTTGTGGAAAATTGAGACATCAACAAATGACTTTTGTGCCCAAAAAACAAGCACAGTTACCAGAACATCAACATAGTTCCCATCAGGAAAATAAATAAAACACAAATATTTATGAATACATTTCTTATGTAAATAAGACATTCAATTTGTTGCATACCTATGGGGCTTATGGAAAATATTAAAACTTATTTGGTTAGTATTTCAAAAAAAAAAAAAAAAAAAAAAAAAACATACCCTGTCCATGGCTAGATAGCCTACACTCTATTAGGGAAGTTACCTTGAATGTTTTCGAAGAAAACCAGTTCCCTATCCATATGTCTTTGATTACAAATCACTTCAGGACCTTTTTTTTGTGCTGCTGGTTAGTAGTTGAAGGACAGCAATACTGACACAACACCGTAAGTGTCATAAAAAGATGACATCTTACTAAATAAATGTATGTGATTACGAAAATTGATAAGGGTTTGTTACCTCGACCCCCCCTCCATATGTTTAACCTCAAATCAGAGCAAGGGAAACGAAACGTGCGAGAATGTAGCGTCGGACCCTCGTATTTTTGGCGAAGACTTCCTGTCAAAAGTCAATCAAATAAAATGTCAAACTAATGAAAATAGGAAGCAGAAAAAATACTGATTTGAAGGAATACATTATAAAATGTGTCATTTGTCCATGCGTACACACATAGGCATGTATGACATAATCTTGATGTGAGTGGGACACTTTTAATCTGAGATTTTATCCCATCCGATGCTATAAAAGGTATAGTCTAAAATTAGCCTTGAGAATGTTAATAAATTAAAAATGACCGGAAATAGACTCGACTGTAAAAATACTCAGAACGTGGAAATATTGGGATATAAAACGTTTAAGGAAATTGGACATTTATCTAAAATGTTATGTAATTACCTAACAGATGGTGTGGATTCAGATATAGCTGATTTTAGTTATTTCAAAGGCTTTTGCCATATTTTCTAATCGATTTGGCTAAAAATTAGTTTTTTAGAGGTTTGCTTTTCTGACCATCTACACTTAAGAAATCATCACTGGAAAATATGGCATTGACCCCTGCAATATCTAAATTCAGGGATATCATTATATAATTGGTGTACCAAAAGTGAACCTATAAGGATAATTACTTGTAAATAATAAGAACTCCAACATTTGGTAAAACAAAATAGAAAACATAACCAAGGCGTAAAACATAATAGAAATCGGAGATATCCCTACAAGGTGACTGCCTCTGTCGATTTTCAAAGCTCTATCTTAAAACTTGCAAAAAATGTCGTTATATACAGGTCCCTATATCTTCCTTTGAGGTTTAATATATAACGGGGTATAAAAATGTTAACCTACAGAATTCAAATCTGTTCGTGGATATTTTCTCTACTGGCCCAATTCGACCGTCACCACTTTGAATTGGTCATCCACAGACAATGATTTCAAAACGAACAATGTACATACATTAAATAATTCCCCTTGAAGAAGCAAAATGTCAATTTAGAGCTAATCGATTTGAAGATAGGTCAAAACCCTTGATAAGCTAGAAACATACGGTACCTTTATGTGTGGGTTATATCAAAGCATGGATCTTTAAAAATGAGTTTACCATTCTGTATGAAACTACATAAAATAGTGATTCTTGAAGAATTAAATGTAAATTGATGAATTAAATATGCATAGACATGGCCTATGTATGCTGTCATCAATCAAGCATCCAACAGATCGCCTTAAAAAGTCACAATGTTAGATAAATACAAATTTGGAAGACCAAAATATCTTACTTAAAATTTCCGGCTCTCATTATTCTTTATATACCTTCTTTTTTATTCATCTCACCCCATTATAGGTCATAAATTTTGATTCACCACGTGGCGGTATATCATTGGTAACGGAAAAAGGTGTTCTGACAACAAGTCGTTTGCTGGTGCAGAAAGCCATACAACAAGATTCTGGACTTTACACATGTACACCGTCGAATGCAAATCCCACATCTGTGCGGGTACATATCGTTGATGGTAAGTGAATGAACTCTCTCCCAAAAAAAAAAAAAACAAAATAACAATAACAATAAAAAATTGAAGTAGCACAACATAAACAAACACTCAGGCCAAAAAAAAAGAAATTTAAATGTGTGTGCGGGTGTGTGTGAGTGTGTTTTTATTATCTAAAGGATTTGTTGCAAAGACGAAACATAAACATTCAAAATGTGTGCTTTGTGAATGGAGAATGATTTTTTATGCAAATGGGAATACAGACAGTGTGGCTGTCTTGAAGTATATTTATAAATCTAGGGAATTAATATGCGCTTTTGATATATGAATCATTAGACCCAAAAAGCAACCATTTTGTGATTTATCTCCTCTGTCGAGAGCCTTTTTCTGGCAAAGTTACTAACGTCTAATTACATCCACGATCACGGATCCTAAGTTGCATTTCTAAATATAGTTATGAGAGATGATAAAATTCATTTAATGGACCGGAATGAGCCATAAGTATTCACAAAATGCCACGAAGACTTTGAAAACCACTCAAAAATCCCCAATAATAACTGGAAAGTCATTGAAAAATGTTTCATGAAGGTAGTCATTAAAAAAATCCAGGACTAAAAATCAATTTTTTTAGAGACTTTTATTTTTTTCCAAATTGAATGGATTTTATCACCTACGAACGATTTTAGCATCGAAAAAAAGTAATCGAATTTTGTGAAAATCGGTTAAGATATAGCTATAGGTCCCACATATATGTTTCATCCAATTATGTATTCAAGTCCCTCACATTCAGATACAGCATAGGAATCCCTCTGCTAAATTGTATAGAGATCGGTTCACATTTGAATATAGTTCCCATATATATCTTCGTCTGATTTTACGTACCTAAAAAACGTAATATCAGGTCAAATAGGATGGATTTTGATGAATATCAGTTCAAACACAAATGCCTTCGTCAAATTTAGTAGAAATTAAGAGGAAATATGTGGGAGGTACATATTAGTTGTTTTCGGCTTTGAATTATAGCTGCTTAAAAGCCATAAACCCGATCATAGTTGGTCTGATTTAATTCTCATAAATACCCCATAAAAAGTTTTTTGTTATGGATAGTTCTACTAAATATGAAAAGTGGTGTAGGGTATCATGAGGCGGCCACGCCCGAGGGTCAGGGTATTATGTTTGTGCATTTGTTAGTAACATGGAGTAGAAAGCGAGATAGACCCATAGTTAGTTTTGAGGATCTCCATAGAATCACTTTCTGAGTTGATTTATGCATGTCAGTCCGTCTGTCTGTCCGTCCGTCCGTCTGTCCATGTATTCTTGTGAACAAAATGCAGGTCGCATTTATTACCCGATTGAAATGAAATTTTCCAAATTATATTTGTTTGGCCCAAGGACGAACCCTATTGAAATTGGAGATAATCGGTAAAAAATTAGATATAGCTCCCATATATCTTCGTCCGATTTGCTTTTTATTGTGCACCAAACGTGTAATATCAGCCCGAATGGTATGGAATTTTGCACATACAACCAAATTAGGCATGAAAATAAGTATGCCAAATTTAATCGAAATCGGTTTAGATATAGCTATAGCTCCCATATATATGTTTCATCCGATTTGTTATTTTTGTCCTCCGCAGCCTCTGTAACAACAATATTTGGGGAATTATATCAAATACAGCTCAGGAATGCCTTTGCTAAATTTTATCGAGATCGGTTTAGATTTGGATGTAGCTCCCATATATAACTTTGTCCGATTTACCTTTCATTGTGTACCAAACGTCTAATATTTGCGCGAATGGGATGAAATTTGGCACTTATGACCGAATTGAGTCCGGAATCTAGTACGTCAAATTTGGTGAAAATCGGTTCAGATATAACTATAGCTCCCATATATATTGTTCATCCGATTTGTTGTATTTGTTACCCACAGCCGTAATATGCACTCCGTAACAACGATATTCAGGGAAGTATATCAAATACAGCTCAGAAATATCTTTGCCAAATTTTATCGAGATCGGTTCAGATTTGGATATAGCTACCATATATATCTTTATCTGATTTCATATTAATTTTGCACCAAATGGGCAATACAAGTCCGAATTTAAAAGATACAAATGCTTCGGCATATTTAGTCCTTTGAGCTTTAAATTATAATTATAATCATAGCGTGTATGATTAATTCTCCCCTAAAAACTTTTAATTGTTATGCGGAGCTCTACTAAATTAGCAAAGTGGTGTAGGGTATCCTAAAGTCGGCCCCGCCCGACTTTTCACATTTTTTTACTGTTTTTTGTTTTTAATTTTGTTATTTTTCATTAAAAAATTGTGGTCTATTTCACCAGCTAAAAATTTTGCGATGGCCATCCGAAATGCTAGGTTTCTGCGCTGTGCAAAACTCGAACTTAATATAAAATTCCATTTGTCTTAGTCCTTAGTTCAAAACAATAGGGCTACTACAAAATCTATACAACTTTTATGTTTTTATCAATTTTGAAACCAAGCAAAATTTCGTGATTATGAAGCCATAAATGTAGTGTGATTACAAATTAAAATGGACAGACGGACACACATAGCTAGATCGACGGAGCTCGGAGTAATAGGATACATACAATCAATCATTATATTGTAGAGTATAATAATTTAATTTGAGTTAAGTATTTTAATTTTTCCCTTTTATTTTAACAAACGCACGTAACATAAACGCGTTAAATTGATTGAGAATTATATACCAATCACAAATATATGAATATGTATGGAAATTCCCATATTAAGCAATATATAATACAACCCTTAAACAAATTCTCCTGGTTTCTACTTGCACTTTGGTGATAGGATCCGTGCTCGTCAAAAATACAAATGGTTAACAGTAATTCACTTCGAATTTTAAATTCCTTGACACTTGTGTTTCCCAATAAAATTACTACTCCAATATTATATTTAAATTTTCATTATTATCTATTTTTAATGATGAATCCAAAATATCACAAGACAGCTTTTTATTGTCCTCTGTTATTACAGAGAATATGGATTACACACGCAACACCCCAGTAAATTTGAAAACAAATTACATTCCTTAAAATGGTTAGGGATCCTGATCAGCATCAAGTCATCTAATTTGAATAAATACCAATATTTCCCCATTCCAACCCAAGCAACATTTTTTTTCTGAATGACTTTATGTAGAAGTACCAAATGTAAATCATTATTAAATGCACGACAGCAAATGAATGGTTTTGACTTGATGTAGCTCTTGTCGTTACGTTTTTTGTGTGGCTCTTGGAGCTTCTGCTTCTGCTGCTGCTACTTTACTTCTGATATATGACTTTCAGTTCGATATTCTCGTCTAAAGCTCACTTTATGCATACTAAAATCATGAACATCCCTCCCTTAATTTATGATAATATTTCAATATTTATTTCAAGTTGTTTTTCATGTTTCGAAAAGCCAGTCAAAGAACATGGAGGAACGTACAAGTATTCTCGATTCTTCTTCTGCAACATCATCATGCATACACACACACACACATACATATGTGTGTACATATGACTTGTCTTAAGTTTACATAAATGCTTTGGCATGTAAGGTTATTATGGACGATATTTTATGGATTTTTAAACTTCACATGAGACGATTTAAAAACTGGAAAATAACGAGCGGATGTGGGAGTGATGGTCATGGAGCTAATGGATCACTTTCGTTTCTGTCGGAGATGGGGTGGTGAGCAAAGAACAGTAGTAGGAGGGTGACTTCACTTGTCTGTGGCATATTTTTCTTCCCACCAGCACGGTTTTTTGTGGTTATGTTGTATTTACGTTAAATATATGTCAGTGCCAGTATGGTGTCTTGATATTTATTAACATTTTTTCTCTGTCATTTTTAGAACCCACTTTTGCACGTAAATATTTTATTGAAGTCCTCCGTTTTTTTTTTTGTTCTGACACATCCTTATGGGCTTTTTTATTTAGTGGTAACATATGCATTTACGTTTTGTAAATTCGTTGGGATATAGAGTGAAAAAAGAAAACGAAACAAATAAGATTGATATAGATGGCTTCGTTGTAAGTGGCATGTCAAGAAAAGCCAACATTTTGTTTGGTAGTTGAACAAAACGGCGGAGGCATTTGTTGGCATGAGTTGAATTTCGGGGAATTCTTTTAGATGGTGATTTGATTTATTATGGTTAATTTAAAACCTGATGACACTTAGATATTGGTTTGGATTTCATTTGCAAATCCAATCAGATGGAAAATAATATATATTTCATAGGAAAGAGGATGTGATGACAATGTGGTTTTTATACCTTCCATCATACTATGGGGGGATTTTAGTTTAATCATTCTTTTAGCCACTACCCTAAATAAAACCAGTAAAGAAAGTCCTAAAGACGGGCGGGGCCGACTTTATGATAGCTATATCTAAACTGATCTTCACTAAATTTGGCATGCTAGCTTCTAGACTCAAGTCGGTCGCATGTGCCAAATTCCATCCCATTTGGGCAAATATTAGACGTTTGGTGTACAATCGGACGAAGTTATATATGGGAGCTATATCCAAATCTGAACTGATCTCGATAAAATTTAGCAAAGGTATTTCTGAGCTGCATTTGATATTTCCCCAAATATTGTTGTTACAGAGTGCACATTACGGCTGCGGAGGACAAAAAAAAAAATAAATCGGATAAACAATATATATGGGAGCTATAGCTATATCTGAGCCGATTTCGATCAAATTTGGCATACTTATTTTCAGGCCTACTTCGTTTGTATGTGCAAAATTCCATACTATTCGGGCTGATATCACACGTTTGGTGCACAATAAAAGCAAACCGGACGAAGATATATATGGGAGCTATATCTAAATTTTTATATTATCTCCAATTTCAATTCGTCCTTGGGCCAAACAAATGTTGTTTGGAAAATTTCAACTCAATCGGATAATAAATGCGACCTGCATTTTGTTCACAAAAATACATGGACAGACGGACGGACGGACAGATGGACTGATATGCATAAATCAACTCAGAT